CAAAAAGTAAAATTAACTGTGCACATTTAGAGAGTAATTGAATATATAAAATATTAAAATTAAGTGTATTTATACCTAAAAACTAATTTACCTTTATAGCCCGAAATTTTTAATATAGCTTCCGTATATTTTACCACATAGATAATTCACATAAGTTTATACCAATTAACTTGATAATTAATACATCAATTATATTCTTATACTAGTGATATTAATACATTGTTTTCTATACTTAATTTAGTTGATAAACACAATGGAGAGAAATGGCGTAAAAAGGGTTGGATTTTATTGCTGGAGACTATTTGTGATCAACCGTTTTCGCGGTTATCAAGTTCGTTTTTAATGAACAATGATTAGTTTTATATTAATTTAGATATTTTTAAATAGATTATATCGTTCATTGTATGGCTATTTATTAAGGTGGCAAACAGAATATACCTGTAAATATGTTGCTTGATAACTGCTGTATTCAATATAACAGTAATTATTAATCGATTTATTTGGCACTCATTTGACTGATGCAATGTTTTTGAAAATTTGATATTTTGTGTACTTGCTAATTTTAATCGATAACTATATTTTTGTCAAAATCACTGGATTAGGATGATTTTAATATATTCAATATTATTATTATTAATCTATATGTCGTCGCAATTATAATTTATAATGTAGTGAACAATACTTATAAGTTTTGTTTGTAACAATATTTGTAAGTTATAAAACATTGAATTCATAATAGATTATATGTATATTATATAACTCATACAAAACTAGTACCTCTTAAAAGCAAATTTAATGTATGTTTCTATAGTTTTATATTTTTTTAGAAATTATAGTAAAATATTTATTAAACTGTACTGGTAAATTAGGGTTTAGTTAACTACACATAGGTTAGTAGTTATAAAAGTAATTGGTTAACCTGATAACAACCTACATACCTTAAATTTATTGTTTAAACATTTTTTTATGAACCGGATAATAAATAAGTTAATCATTTAATATTGAAATTAATTAATTAATATAAACAATGAAATAAATTTGAATTTATAACTATTTGCTGATAATTTATACTTGATAACCGAAATACAATAATTTAAATTATCATAATTAAACCTTGAATATAAAATGTTAACTATTTAAAATTTGCCACTAATTTAAATTTTAAATAATGTTATTTACCACGATGCTTATGATACTGTAATACAAATTAACTTTTAAATATGATAACACTTAATTCTTTAAACATATAAGTGACTAGGTCATTTATAGATAGGAAATAATTTTCAGGCTATAATGACACTGATGCCAAGAATTTGATTAAAATTTGTCCCAAAATGCAAACCATTCAAATAAATCATAAAATCCTATCACTTCTAAAGTAATATCAATTTGTTTAAAATTTATTTGCTTTGTATTGTGTTTATGATTAAGAAATGCTTGTGTTTTAAATTATTGAATAATTTATATTTTAATTCATAAATAAAGTGTTTTATGGGAATTACTTTTAAATTTAATAATTCATGCGATATATTAATATTCACTGTTTAAATATAAAATCAAATTGTTTAAAGTGTGGTAAATCAAAAACAAATATTGCTTCCTAACTTTAAACAAGGCATTAAAATCACATTTTATTAAACATATTGAAAATCAGCTATAAGTTGAATGACATATAAGTTGATTACATCCGGATTAGGTATTAAAGGATTATTTGCAGTGAATATTGTTAATCTGTATTTACCTGATTTCATGTCATATTCAAGCGATACAAACAAATACAGGCTTTCTATGAGTTTGAGTGAAATGAATGCAAGTATTAATTGAAAGGAGTGTTAAATAAATGCTTTTTTCGTGATAATTGTTTACATAATAATTACTAATAATAGTGAATAGAGTTTGGAAATAATGTCTCAAATCTATAGCAAAGACTCTTTGGACAGATTTGGTGACGATTTGTGTGAATACTTGTTATCTTATCTATCACTTGATGACCGGTTCCGATGTGAATGTGTGTCCAAACAGTGGCAGCGAGTGATATACGAGACTCAGACACAACTCACTAGCCATGAGATATGGTATGATTTCTCATCATTTGAATCAATACTTAAAAAGTTACCCAAAATTATTGCTATTGATTTGAGGTATCAATTGATGCAAAAGTGTGTGTTTGAAGCGATTATCAAATATTGCTTTCATTTAAACGCTATTAATATTTGGTTTGATAAGGATATCAGTGTCGATATGATTGACAAGTTTTTCGCTAAATTTGCGAAACAATTGAAAGTTTTTAATAACTTTGATCATTATAATGAGCAACTGTTTGGTAATACAATCGCTAAATACATCATATTATGTGAAAATATAACACAATTTAGTGTTGTCTATGATATCAATTGGAAAGTCATATCAGAGCCGAGAGTATTGTTCCCAAAACTACACAAAGTTTGTCTCGACTTTACCGCCGATTATAGCCAAGAATTTGCCGTATTTTGCGATAACTATAGAAATACTATGAAATCAATTCATGTGAAACACAATCGCAAATATTGCATTGATCAATTAAAAGCATTAGTATAAAAAATATTTTTAGATACAAATATAAATTATATACTAATGAAAATTCAATTGAATTTCTTATTATTGTACATAATTTACGCTTATTTTGTTAACACTAATCTATAACATAGTAAATCTAATTAGTATATAATATTTATATAATATTAATATTTCTATAATCACCAGGTTTATCAAAACTGGGTGAATTACGGGAACTACACCTCCGTTATCGGGATAACTCGGAAAACGGTTTATTCCGTATATTCGTCACGGAATTAGGACTACTGGGACTCAGTTCACGGCATTTGAAACGCCTTTCCCTCTCATATTACTCTACGAAACAATTGCCGCCAGAAATGAGCCAAATATTACTGCAAATCATTTGCGATTACTTTAAACGATTTAGACGTTTGCAAATCGGGGGCAATATTTTTGCCAATAATTTCTTATTAAGCGGCGATTCGTTGAAGGCTTTCAAACGGATAACACATTTGACGATTTGTTTCGCTATTAATAAACAATTTTTGGCAAATATATCGCAATTTTTCCCAAACATCCAGTACTTAGATCTGTATCGTGTGCCTGATATTACTCGACTCAACGCGTTTGTATTGACATCAATAGCAAAACTACGGTATATTCAGCGCATTGAAATCAATGGCAATGTGACCATGCTCAGAAAACGTGTCAACAATTTGATTGTATAATTAAATTAACAATTTATAAAACATGTTGAAAATAAGCTATAAGTTGATTACATCCGGGTTTAGGTGTCAAAGGATTATTTATAGTGAAGATTGTTTATTCAGTTAATCTGTATTTTTCTCATTTCATGTCATATTCAAGCGATACAAACAAATACAGGTTTTCTATGTGTTTGAGTGAAATGAATGCAATTTGGGAATGAATGTAATTTTTGACTAATTATTGGTATTTTGATTAAAACTTGCATTAATTTCACTTGTTTGATATCATATTACGGTAATACATTTAATGAATGTTATGTTTAAATTGTAATTATATGTAGGGCACTTTATAAACACTTTTTTGTAATAAATAAATATTGTGATAAATAATTTATGGTTTAAAAAATTAATTTTAAATTATTTTAAATCCAATGGAAATCCATTTAAAATTCAAAAATTTCTATAAATCTTTGAATTAATTGTAATAAAAATGTGAATCAATGGACCGATAGATGGCAACTGAGCTGTCATTCAATAATAGCAAACCCTTTTGAGCGGTATTTGTGGTGTAATTGTCGGTCAGTTGAGCGCATAATCGCCGGTCGGATATGCGATACAAATGCGGCGAACATTGTGTTGTCTCGCAGTCTATGAGAGGTTCGCAAAAAACACGTGTCTTTGTAACTATTGTCTCAAATGAATGCAAGTATTGATTGAAATGAGTGTTTAATTCAGTTATCAAACGGTATTTTGAGTGTCAGTTGTGTTCATAATAACTATTCAATTGATTTGTATTACAAGTGATTAAAGTTTTGTGAATAATGTCTCAAATCTATAGTAAAGACTCTTTGGACAGATTTGGTGACGATTTGTGTCAACACATGTTGTCTTTCCTATCACTCGAAGACCGGTTCCGCTTTGAATGTCTGTCCAAACAGTGGCAACGATGCGTATATGAGACACAAACCCGGCTCACAATTACCCGCAAATTATGCGCAAAACTCAATATTAACTCTCAAATTGAATCAATGCTTCAAAAGTTGCCAAACATTGCGGACATTGTATGCGAGGACTACGTGTCTAACCGTATGTTTGAAGCGATTGTCAAACATTACTGTCATTTACACGCTATTCACGTGTGGTTTGTAAATGACATTAACATCGATACGATCGAGACATTCATAACAAAGTTTGCCAAACAGTTGAATGCAATAGCGATACACCGGTGCTCACAGGGCATATCCAATGCCATCCCGAAGTCATACGGATATATGACATATCCTAAAACCAATCGTTACCTCCATTTCAACAGACATTTGCAATTATTACTGAATCCGAGTCCATTGCACCCATACCTACGTAAAGTGGGCATTGATTATCAATTTAAACTTTACAATAGTCCGCAGTTCACGGCATTTGCCACAAACTATGCACACGTATTGCAATCACTTTATCTGAGAACAGGAGATATTTCTACTGATAATGAATTGAAAGCATTAATCAATGGTTTGTATAACTCGTATAGAAATGAGTATATTTTGCACAACAATTATAATCACAGTATATATTTGATTACATGACAGATATATCGCGACTGAAATCACTACGGGATCTGCGCATAGGGTTCAGTGAACTGGTTGACCCGGAACCTCAATCGGATAGTGACTCAGAACATGAGCAGGACATGGATGCAAATGACAATCACGCAAACCCTGGCCAAGGGTTTAACGCAGAGTTAAATCCGGAGCTCAACCAACATATTAACCCACAATTGGCTGAAACAGATAACTACTGGTTTCCCAAAGTAATCGCCGGTTTGACACAAATCGGACTCAATTTGCAACTTTTGAAACGCCTGTCCCTTAATTTCTATTCCGAGTTAAATGAGTGCATAATAATAAAGGGCTCGGAGTATAGACAACTCATGCACTGTATTCACGATAACTATAAACGGTTGACTCGTTTGGAGATCTGTTTGACTAATAGCGAGGAATTGGTTTTACCGCCAATTGGTTTCACTTGCGGTCAACAGTGGAAACGTATCACACATTTAACGCTGGACTTTGTGGTCGACGTCAATGTGATCGCGGATATCGTGAACTGCTTTCCAAACTTACAGTACTTTTGGTTTGAAATTGTCGGTGAAAATGATACGAATGGACAGTCGCTGACACAAAGTCTCCATTTGTTATCACAATTACGGAATATTCAGTACATTTCCATCGGTTATTGGGATAATGATGTTTATGATCAAAGTGTGCTTGATCATTTCATGATATGTCCCAAAATGAAAGCCATTGACTTAAGCCTCTTATGATGTGATTAATATTAATTAATATTAATTAATATGGTTTATTAATTACGGTTTAAATATTTACGTATAAATTTATAGCCAATTTGATTACTGTATTAATTGTATGTATTTTGTGTGTATTTTCAGTTCATTGCAAACAACACTACAAGTCATTGGTTTCAATGGATTCATTCATCACAACAACCACTATATGTTTAATACACTTAACA